TGTCTTTCATTCTGTGTGTGTGTGTGTGTGTGTGTGTGTGTGTGTTCCTGCTGTGGTGTGTATGTGTGTCCCTGCTTTCTGTATCTCTGTATGTCTCTTTCTTTGCCCCTGTCTCTGGTGCCTGGTCTCTATGGCTCTTTCTGTCCATCTCCCAGCCTTCCCCTCTTCTCCCTTGTCCTTGTCAGAACCCTTCTGCTGGCCCAGAATGGGTGTGGGGGCTCCCCAAAGCCTGGGATGACCCCTCTTCCCCCCACCCATCAGTATCCAGATGGTGTCTTCTATGATCTGGACAGCTGCAAACACCCCAGCTACCCTGACTCAGAGGGGGCTTCTGGTGAGTGGCCCTGCCCTAGCCATCCTCTTGACCTGGACCTTGGGCCCATTTCACAGATGGGGGAGCTGAGTCCCAGGGGAGGATGTCACCAAGTTCAGCAGGATAAGATTAGCCTAGTCTCCAGACCTCCCCCCTTTTCCTCTCCCACCCACCCTCTTGCCCATGCAAATTATGGGGAAAAACATTTGCAAGGCCTACAATGGCCTCTCTGTGCTGGGGGCTTTGAGTGGGTGGGGCTGAGGCCAGACCTGGCTTCTGACTCAGCGCCTTCCCGCCCTCTCCCAGACTCCCTGTGGGGCTGGGACCTCAGTCCAGCTGTCCCAGCCACCTCCTATGAAGCCTTCAACCCGGCTGTGGCCAACTTCAGCCATCCTCAAGGAATCCAGCTCTGTTACGGACCCTCGACCTACAGCCCCGTGGGGAGCCTGGACCCAGCCCCCAGTGTAGAGGCCCCGGGGCCCAGCTTCCCAGCATACCCCACGGAGGACTTCACCAGCCAGGTGAGGGACAGGGACACGATTAACTTTCCCATCATCGGCTCGAGATTTCCTAGATGCCAGGCAGCGTGTGAAAGCCTCTGGGTTAAGTACCATTTCTGCTCCATTGCACGGGCCAGCCAACAGAGGCGTGGATGTCAGGCAAGGAGCTGCACGGGAAGCCATGTTCTGGGTTGGGCAGGCTTTCAGGGAGGGGGCCCGGGTATCCCTTGGCCATGCCATGGAGATGGGAACTGAGGCCAGAGCACAGGCTGTAAAGGGTGGGGGGGCACAGTGGGGAAGGCCACAGCGAGGACCCAGGAGGAGGAAGCTGAGGGAAGAGCAGAGGGAGGGAGGAAAGGGGGTCCCTGGACTGCAGGTGATCCTGACCTTTTGCAGACCATGGCCCCCCCGGCGTATGCCCCGTACCCCAGCCCTCTGCTGTCGGAGGAGGAAGACCTCCTGCTGGACAGCCCAGCCCTGGAAGTTTCAGACAGCGAGTCGGATGAGGCCCTCATGGCTGGCCCTGAGGGGAGGGCATCTGAGGCAGGTACGTAGGAGCTAGTGGGGTGTGGTGGGGCTCCAAGAGGAGATGGGGGAGGGGCTAAAGGAACCCCCGGTTTCTCAAGCACCTACTGTATACTCCAGTGATGAGGGTATTTCCCTGTGTGACCTGGGGCAAATGACTGTACCTCTCTTGGCCTGACTTTCCTATCTACCGTGGGGATGACGTAAGTGTCTATTACTGGAGTGTGGGGATTAAGTGCGATAATACAGGTGAAGGAGAGCGGTGCTTGGCACAGCAGTCAGTCAGTGCGTCTCCACCCTTTTCAGACACGATATCAATGGACACAATCATAGCAACACAGGTCCCCGGAACCCCTGTTTCCGCCCATGTGACTGACCCGTGGTTTGCCCAGTTCCTGGGCCGGTAGGATTGTGAGTTACTTTCCCTACCTGGCTCTCGGTTTCCCATCTGTAAAATGGGCAGCAGCAGCAACAGCCCCATCTCCTGGGCTTCTGATGAAGATCAAATGAGCTCGTAACTGTAAATGCTTAGAACTAAGTGCTTCACAGAGGTTTGTAAAATACACACACACACACACATACACACACACACACAAGCCTCATTTACAGCTGAGGAAACGCCAGCTCAAGTTCACTGCTGGGAAGTGGCAGACCTGGGGTTCTGGTACCCAATGGCCTGCTATGAACAGCCCCTCTCTGGCTTCGTGGGGGTCTTTGCTGCTGGTAGGAGCAAAAAAGAGACCCCCAGCCACCCCCGCAAATCCTTCCAGGATCCCAGTCCCTCTGGGGCTGAGAAATGGCTAGGCGCATTCAAACCCACTTCAGATCTCTTCACCACTCAGCGCCCCGTTATAAGCCTCTGAGGGGCCTTGGCAGTCCATTCCACGGATCCTGTCCTCCACACGCAGGGCAGACACGTATTACTACGTGCGGGCCACCAGCAGAGCAGAGGAGAGACGCAGGTCCCCAAGATAAAGCAAGGCAGGGGGATGGGAGCTGTGGGGTAACAGCTTCGGGGAGGAGAGAGGCTTGCCTCCGATGGGGGTGGTGGTGGCCCAAGGCGGACCCAGGCAGATGCCTCCTCCCTCGTCCCAATGCTCTCGGCTGTGAGACTGAGGCTTGCTGGGGGCCCGGGAGGAGGGGTGAAGCGGAGGGGGCGGGGAAGCGCGGCGCCCCAAGGCTCGCTCCCCTAACGTGCCCCGACCACCGCAGGGGCCCGCAAGAAGCTCCGCCTGTACCAGTTCCTGCTGGGTCTGCTGACGCGCGGAGACATGCGCGACTGCGTGTGGTGGGTGGAGCCGGGCGCCGGGGTCTTCCAGTTCTCCTCCAAGCACAAGGAGCTCCTGGCGCGGCGCTGGGGCCAGCAGAAGGGCAACCGCAAGCGCATGACCTACCAGAAGCTGGCGCGCGCCCTGCGCAACTACGCCAAGACCGGCGAGATCCGCAAGGTCAAGCGCAAGCTCACCTACCAGTTCGACAGCGCGCTGCTGCCCGCCGCCCGCCGGGCCTGAGCCCAGTGGGGGGGCTCTCCGGGGCTCCACGTCTGCGTCACGTTGGCGTCCCCACACTCTAGGTCATAGGACCCGTGGATTCCCCACGCTGTTGGGGGTGGGGGGCTGCCATAATCCCTAAGCTCTGCCCAGGGCCCCTCTGGGACTCCACCCCACCCCAATCATGTCTGGGGCCCCTCTGGGATTTCCTTGTCATGTTCAGGATCGCCAGGATCCTCGTGTCTTGGGTCACAGAACCCCTGGAGGACTATACTCTGTGTCTGTGCGGAGGGGGTGGGCAGGACCCTGCTTCCAGATCGCCTTGTGGTGTCTGAGATCGCCAACCAAGCTCTCTGAGCTCCCTTGTGTGTCTGGGATTCCTCAGTCTCATCTGGGGAGGGTGAGCTCACAGCTCATCACACAGGGAGGGGGTTGCTGCTTGTAACCCTAAGCCCCGTCCAGCCAGGGTCTCTCTGGGATCCCCTTCTCATGTCTGACACTCTCCTATCAGATCTGAGATCTCCTACTTATGTCTGGGGCCTTCTGGAAACCCTCTATCATGTCTCAAATCTCTATGCCCATCTGTGACTCTCTTGTCCTGTTCCCCAAAATATGTTTGTCATCTTGAGATCCCCCAATTCTCTGGAGCCACTGTGCTATCACTTTTTGTGCGTGTGTCTGGAATTCTCCAATCACATCCAGAGTATCTCTGGGATCCTTTGGGCCTGTCTAAAAACAACCTTGTCAGGTCTATGGGAGACCTCGGTGAACTCTGTCTTGTCCAGGCCACCTCTGGGATCCCCTGGTCTGTCTGGGATCCTTCCAATCACATCTGGGGCCTCCCTGGGATCCCCTATCTGCTCTGCCCCTTTGGGGACCCCATCAGCAGACCTGAGTTCTCACAGGGATCCTCCCCTTCCTGGAGTACACTCTGTAGGGCCAAGCTAGAGATCATTCTGGCCAGTCAACTGATTTCCGGGTGATCTTGGCAGCTCTCCCATGTCATCTCTAACCAGAGGTCTCACATTGGTACCCCTACCCCTCCAGCTCCCTTTGGGGCAAATCAGATCTCCGGTGGTGGGTCCTTCTTTAGTTCCCTGCAGCAGTGAGGGAGATTTTACAAACCCCTTCCCTTCAGACTTTGCACGATCCAGCAAAGGTGGGCAGCTTTGCGGTGCAGAGAGGCTGGAGGAGGGTGCCGGGCACCCTTAACGGGGTGCCTGTTCTCCAGTCTGTCCCAGTCCCCGCTGCCCCTGGCTGTCAGACCCCAGTGGCTTCTTTCAGTCGCCTCTTGGCCCCTGACCATTTGTGTTTTCAGCCCTGGTGTGAACCCACGGAGGTGAAGCTTGGGTTCACCGTGGGAGCTCCGATTTGAACCCTGTGGGGGTGTCACAGACTGTGGGCTAAGAGGCCAGAGTCCCAGTCCTTGAGTCTTTGTGACTGGGGGATCTAGGGTGAAAGACTTACTGCTTCTGGGCCTCAGTTTGTCCCTTCTGTGAAAGGGGAGAGGAGGAGGAAGATAGAAAAAGTCCCCTGCAGCCCTGCTGAGCCTTTGATGCATCTTCTGGAAATCTACCCCACCACCCATTCATTGACGTCCAGGAGGAGGACGACAAGGAAGGAACTTCAAAGACCCAGAGAGGGAAAAGGTCCTTATGGGGCACACAGCTGCTGGTAGCAGAGCCCAGGCTGGGACCTGCCCTCCCAAGGACAGCACACACCTTCACACTGGAATGGGGGCAGGGTGGGAAGGGAGTGCCAGGGACAAAATGTTCCCAGGGCCTCCTCTTGCAAATGAGGTACCTTTTGCAAAAACTATCATCATCACCCCAAGTGTGGAATAAAATAAAATAAAACAAATCAAGGTAGACAGGCTTCCTAGGACCCTTTGTTAGGGATGGCTCTCTGTCGGCCCAGGCCTGCTGACTGGCAGAGACACTGAGGCGGAGGCAAGGCGGACCACAAGAAGGGATGGAAGAGGCGTTCAGAGCCGCATCAGGCTGAGCTTTGAAGGCCGCGGTAAAGGGCTTTAGATGCAGACACTGCTGGTTCCGTTCAATTTTTGTCTGTCTCTCTTTTTTATAAAGATTTTTTATTTTGAACCAATCTCTATACCAACCTGGAGCTCCAACTCACAACCCCGAGATCAGGAGTCGCCTCTTCTTCCGGGCTGAGACAGCCAGGCTTTCTCGCTCTCTTCCCCACTGTCTCCCTGCTCCCCTTTCCGTCAAGGTGTCTGTCCCCCCGCCTTCTGAATTTCTGCCCTTCTCTGTACGTCTGGATACAGCACTCGGACAGGCAGATAGGGCGGGAAGCTCCTGGCGGCGCGTCGCGCTCTGGCTCCAGCCACTACACCACCCAGCTGGGCGCGCATGAGCGGTGTGGCTGTCTGCCTAGCAACCCGTGACATCATACAGAGGCTGGCGCGGGGTTGGCTTGGCGCTCCACGGAGGCGGGGCAGTTTCCGGCTCGCAGGGGGTTTTGGAAGAGCCGGGAAGGGGGAGACCGAGAGGAAGAAAATCGGGAGGGACGTGTATTCACTCAAACCTGCTCCCTCCGCCGGAGTTACTTCCTCTCCCATCCTCCGCCTTAACCCCAAACCCGCACTCCCTACTCCCTCTCACACTCACCTCGCCTTCCTCCCCATAACACCCACTGCCTCTCAGAGACCCTCTCTTCACCCCCCACCCCCGCTTCTGGCCTCCTTCACCTCCCCCCATCCGGCGTCCAGCCACCACCGCCCCCATTCTGAAAGCCACAGGTCCCCCTGCCGGGAAGGGCGCCAACGTCCGGGCAGCCCTCCAGGGCCTTCCCGGTCTCCCCACCCGCCCCGCTGGGGGGCACTCGTCCCCCTCCCCCGCGTCCGGTGCCCGCCGCGCCCGCTCCGGGAACCGTCGAGTGGAGCCGGCCGGCTGGGTCCCAGGAGGGGCACGCGGCCAATCCCGGGTCCCAGGTGGCCGCGGCCGCAGGCCTTCAGATGTGCTCTCGCCCAGGGGCGGGACGCGAGAGTCCTCGAGCCTCGGTGCCCTTCCTGCGGGCACAGAGATCGCCTCCCCACCCCCGCAGCCGTCTTGCCCACGCTGGGAAACCGGACCCTCCCTCGCAGCTCCGGTTTCCCGAAAACTCCTGACTTGCAGATACTAAGAATGGCTTTCTAGACGGTCTTCCCCCTTGGCCCCCACGGCAGAGTTCTGGCTCGGAGCCCTCACCCATTTTAGACCCCAGCCCCTTCATCTCCCGCCTCCCAGGAGTCAGGAGTCCAGGCCCTCATCCTCCATTTTCCTGGACCCAAGAATCCGAGCCCCAGACCCCAATGTCCTGACCCTCCTCCTTCAGACGTGGGAGCCCTCGCCTCCAGCCCCCTCTTCCTGGGACCCGGGTGTCTGAACCCCAGGCCTCTCCTCCCCAGGGACTTGGCATTTAGCCATCTCTCGCGGTCCAGATGTTCTTTCTCACCCTTCAGAACACGCCCCGCTGAATGTGGGGCAGCAAGGAGGGCGGGGAGACCAGGCTGATGCCTCCCACAGCCTCCTGGGAGTCTCTGGACTTCTTAAAGGGCTCCCCCTGGGGGCCCACCTGTTCGCCCCAGGGCGCTGAGGGACAAGCTGCGGTCTGAGGAGCCCAGGAGCGAGGTCTGCTGACATGCCTGAGGCGAAACCAGGTGACTTTCAGGACTGCCCTCCCTGGGTGGAGATGCGGTCCCCTTTTCTGAATGGGGGCTAAGGGCTCCTCTGTAGGTTTCGGAGAATGGGATGTGTTCTCTGTGTGGTGAGGGCTTCCCTTTCTTCTGTGGGGTGGGGGGCCCCATATCTGTGTTGGGTTGGTGGGTCTCCTTCCCTGTGCAGTGAGGGTGTCCCTTTCTCTATAGGGATTTGGGGGGGCATTGCTGGGTGCAGATAAAGATTATCTGACTTTGAGTCCTTTTTCTGCGTAGGGATGGGAGTGTGGTGTATGTAGACCAGAGAGTCTTTGTGTTGTGATTGGGGTCCTCTACATTTGGGGATGGAATTCTCTCCATAGGCACCAGGGTGCTTCTCTGAGTGAGGACTGAGTCCCTTCTCTGTAGGGGAGTGGAGTCCTTGTGTGTATAGAGGTTAGGGGTTCCTGTCTGGTGAGGAGAGCTCTTGTCTGTATAAGGATGAGGGGACCTCCTTTCAATAGGAATGTGGGCTTCCTCACGAAGGAATTAGGGAGCCTTCTCCATATAGGGGCCCCTTATGTGAGCCTTTCTCTGCTATTTGATGCTCTTCTCTGTATGGGACTGTGGACATTTTTAACGTGGGGTGTCGCTTTCTCTCTATAAAGAAGTGAACACAAGAGATTCAAGTCCCTGGGAGGGACCCTCCTCCTGGGGTGTCCAGACCGCTGGCACCAGGCCAACCAGGCTGTGGAGTGGGGGTCCAACCCCTCACTGCAGCTGGGTCGTGGGTGGGCCAGGAGCCAGCGGCAGGGCAGGTGGAAGATGCCATGGTCAGCACACGGTGTCCAGTTTCCAGCCCCGGGAGAGAGCTAATTATACCCCCAGGACCCAAAAGGTCAGGGCCTGGTGGCCTGAGTGGATGGGGCACGGCTTGTCTGGAGCAAGGGGAAACCAGATCTCTCAGACTCTCAGGATTAGAGATTAATTTACGCCTGAAGGGGCAGGACTTCTGTGTCTGAGGGAGGATGGGCAGGGTGGTGCTAGAGTCCCGGGTTTTGGAAGAGGAGGGTACTGAGCACTTCCTCAACTGTGAACATCTTTTACCTCGCAGTAGCCAAAAAGGCCCCCAAAGGCAAAGAGGCTGCCAAACCAGCTCCCAAGGAAGCCCCCCCTGAGGAGGCTCCTGCAGAGCCCCCCAAAGGTGAGACAATGTTCCTGTCAGATCTGCAGAACCTGGCTTTTCAACCCCCGGCTCCCTTTGTACCTCTGCAGCACCTTGCTCTCTCTCCTTTAGTCCTACCTCCAGAGCTAATCCATCCTTCCCACACTTGCCCATAACCCTCCATGGCTCCCCAGTGCCCCCAGGTTAGAGCCCTGCCCCTCAGACTGGTCCCCATGCCCCTAGCAGCTAACTGATTCATCACGGAGTCCTGCCCAGTTTTGGATGCCGCAGTCTATTTCCACACCTCTCCTACCCCAAAGCCACGTTCAAATGATCCAGTCCACCTCCCTCCAGTTCACAAATGGGGAAACTGAGGCCCACAGGAGTGGAGGAGACTGGCCAAAGTCATGCAGCCACCTGTGTGATACATGGTCTTTCCAAAGTCAGGAGAAGCCACTTTGCTCCATGCCTTGGCATCTGAGCAGAGGGTCCCTCACAGGCTCTAAGCCCCGCTCATTAAGTGGCCTGCTGCCCCTTCCCCAACCTGCCTCAGATCCCCCCCAATCCTGTCTCCTAAGCAGAAGCTCCACCTGAGGACCAGTCTCCCACTGCTGAGGAGCCCACTGGCATTTTCCTGAAGAAGCCAGACTCAGTGTCGGTGGAAAATGGTGAGGGGGGATGAGGGAGGAGGGGGCTGGAGACATGACTCTCGGGTCTGAGGGAGGAGGGGGCTGGGGGTTTGGACTCCCAAGTCTGAGGGAGGAGAGGACTGGGGTCCAGGGCTCCTGAGTCTGAGGGAGGAGGGAGCTGGGGCCTGGACTCCTGGGTCTGAGGGAGGAAGGACTGGGGGCCTGGACTCCCGGGTCTGAGGGAGGTGGGGGCTGGGAGCCTGGACTCCCGGGTCTGAGGTAGGAGGGGGCTGGGGACCTGGACTCCTGGGTGTGAGGGAGGATGGGGCTGGGGACTTGGACTCCTCTGTCCAAGGAAGGAGAAGCTCCCAGTCCTCTCTGTAGAGTCTCACAGTTCCTGTCTGGCCACTCCCTCCCATCCCCCACACCCCCACCCAGGAAAAGATGTGGTGATCGTGGCCAAGGTGAACGGGAAGGAGCTCCCAGAGAAACCAACCATCAAGTGGTTCAAGGGGAAGTGGCTGGAGCTGGGCAGCAAGAGTGGGGCCCGATTCTCTTTCAAGGAGTCCCATGACTCTGCCAGCAATGTGAGGACCCCGTGGGGACACTGAGGGCTTATGGGCTAAGGATGGGGGTTGGGCAGCCCTCGATTCTCAGAAGGCCTGTTGCTTGAAGCCTGGAGCCCCTGTAGGATGGAAAACAGGACCTCCAGGGATAGAGGTTGTGCGGAGCTGCTTGGTGGAGATTGTAGGGGACAGGTGGGGACAATGTTTGGGTTAAGGCAGGGCACACTTGGTCAGTCCGTGCATTCCCAGAAAGCTCTCTGGGGTCAGAGATGTGGGGCCCCAGGGTCAAGTTTGTCCAGGCATGCGAAGAGACAGCTGGCCTTTCCAGTGAGGCCAGGGTGAGGACCCAGAGAGGGAGACGTGAGGTGGGCTCCGGGGGGTGTGGGGTGGGGCTGGGGAGCAGTCACGCGCACCCACATCCCTGGCCCCCTGCCCCCAGGTGTACACCGTGGAGCTGCACATTGGGAAGGTGGTCGTGGGGGACCGTGGGAATTACCGCCTTGAGGTCAAAGCCAAGGACTTCTGCGATAGCTGTGCCTTCAACATCGATGTGGAGGGTGCGCTGGTGGGGGTGGCGGCGTGGGGGAGCAAAGGGTTGTGGGGGGTGGGGCTGGGGTGGGTGTTTCAGCCTGGTGTAGCGAGCGTACAGATGTGGGGGTGAGATTTGGGGAGGAGGGAGTAGATGCAGGGGTCAGGGGATTCAAAATTGGGGAGATAGTCTATGGGCTTAGACCATGAGGTGGTGTGGACTCGGGGTGGAGAGGGTGCAGGGTTTTGGGTGCCCAGCGAAGGCTGAGAAGGTGAGCTAAGTAGATCCCACGGTCCCAGTGGACAGGCTAGAGAAGGTAGCCATGAGGGCTTGGGAAGCTAGTGTGTCCAGGTTTAGGGTGAGGGTACGCAAGCTTAGTGGGAGGTTATTACAGATTTGGGGGCATATGTATGGACCCCAGAGGGCTCTGGGGTCTACAGCCCAGGATGGGTGTGGCTTAAATATGGGGGACACAGGGAAGGTGGCTGCCCAGGCCCGGGGAAAAGAGTGTGCTGGCCCTGGGGGAGAGGCTGCTCGTGGGGCAGTGCGGCAGCAAGGGAAACAGGAATCCACGCGCAAGTTGCAGGATGTGCTGGCCCATGACAGGGGGCCTGGGGGGAGGTTGTGCAGGCCTGGAGGGGCACTCTTGGTCTTAGATCAGGCCTTGCTTCCAGCTCACCTTCTGTCCCCCCATCTCCTCTCCCCAGTACCCCGTCAGGACGCCTCTGGGCAGGGTCTAGAAAGCTTCAAGCGTTCGTAAGTGATCCTGGAACCTGGGAAGAGGTGTGGGGGGTTGGTGTCTGCTGGTGCCAAAGACTATGGAGTGTCTTCCCTGGGGGTGGGGAGCTGTGGGAGAAGGGAAGAGTGGGGACCCAGGGCAGACCTGAGGGCACAGGACCTCCATGGGGTTCACACACCCTCTCAATGGCCACAGGGGCCAAGGGAAGTCAGAAGATGCGGGTGAGCTGGATTTCAGCGGCCTGTTGAAGAAGAGGTAAGCCTACTCCACTTGGCCTACAGAGAGGAGATGGGGATTCATAGAGGAGGAGGTTCCACTGCCAGCCCTGGATGCCCTGTTTTCCGCTCTGTGACCTGCATCTACCCATTTCCCACCCATCCGGCCGTCTGTCCCTCCACCTATCCCCATACTCACCATTCACATTTACCTACAACCACACCCACTCAGCCATCTGCCGGCCAGTTCCCCTACCTACCTACCCTTCAACCCATCATCCTCACAGCCATTTTCTTGTTCACTCAGGCTCTAATTCACCTGTACATCCCTCTGAGCACCCAGTTAAACACCCATCTGCCATTCTGGGTGGGGCAGGTCCACCCATCCACTTACCAATCACCCGTCTGTTCAACCAGCTGTGTATCCATTGACTAATCCAACCACTCACCTACCTGCGCATTTACCCATTCATCCGCCCACACATCCATTCATCTACCCGCCATCTCCCACCTGTCTATCCACTCGTCTACCATTACACTCAGCCACCCAGTCAGTAGCTCATCCATTCATCCTTCACCTACCCACCCCTTAATCCCATTCCCCAACTATGGAGGCACCACCAATCCACTTTCCAACACCCATCTGTCTCTCATCTATCTTCCTTCCCACCTGGGTATCTATCTGCACCTACATCTCTCTCCCAACTGAATCCGTCATCCCACCCGCCCACCTGGCCATGCATTCTTTGATCAACGCTTCCTGTCTTCAGTGACACACCCATCTACCCAGATAGCTCTCTGTGCGTGATCTATATGAAATTGCTGTTCTTTAGGTAAAAATGATGGGCTGTTGGCAATTTTATAGTGTTCAATATGATGCTTTTTCGTTTGCTTGGTTATTCATTATCTACTGGTCCACCCATCCATTCTTGTATTCATTCATCTATCCCCATACCCAAATCCACAGCAACCCCATCGAATGACAGATTCATCTCCTTGTCTTTACCCAGCCAACCACCTACCTGGCCATCTCCCCTCAACATATCCACCCAATTGCCGACCCAACCATTTGCCACCAACCCATCAGTCCATCCACTCGCCCAGCTATCTTCCATCCGCCCATTCATCTGTCTTCACGCCACCCGTCCACCACCTATCACCCATCCATGGACCCGCACATCCATCACCCCAGCCATCCATCAACACCTTGACCCATGCCTGTAGTATTTCTCCACCCAAAGCTCTGTACATCATTGCAGATACTCATATGTCCTCCTGTTCCCCAATCATCTCTCTCCTCTTTTTGTTCCCTTCCTTCCTTCTTTCCAGAGATCTACTCACTTTCTCACTCAGCAAACATTCTTTGAAGCCTCCTGTCTCCCAGGCCCGGGGCTGAGATCAGGGGACAGAGAGAAGTTTGATTTGGTCCCTGACACTGAGTCACAGATTGTTCTGGGGAGATGGGTCTGGTCCAACAGACATAGACAGAGACCAAGATTGTTTAGTGTGACCAAAGAGAGGGTCCCACAGAGACCTTGTGAGAACCCAGAGGGAAGGCAACTCATTGCCTGGGAAGACCAGCAGTGCCTCACAGAGAAGGGAGCTTTGGCACTAGGTCTGAAGAGGAGTGCATCAGGAAGGGAAAGTAGGGAGGGGTCATCTGGGTGGGGAAACATTTTGTGCAAAGGCTGGGAGGCAGGAGGGGGGCCTGAGGGTTCAGGAAAGGCAAGGAACATGCATGGATGGTTGTGGGGTGCTGATGGCATGGTGGGTGGCGTCATGACTGTGAGGCTGAGCTGCTGAGGCTTCCTCCTGATGGCAGTGGGGGACCCATGGAAGAATTCTGAACAAGGAAAGGATGTCATCTGATGTGGAAGTAAGGAATACCCTCCTAGGGCCATGTGGCGAGCAGGCTGGAGGGGAAGAGGCAGAATGGAGGCCAGGAGGTCAAGGAGGAGGCTTAGGCATGCAGGCGGAGAGGAAACGAGCACCAGGCTCAGAGAGAGAGAGAGCGGCACAGCAAGTGGGTGAAGGCAGAGGGAGCGCCTCACCTTTTAATCCTAATTGCCCCTCCACCCACTGCGGCCCCTGCCCACTCTCCCTGCCCTCAGGGAGGTGGTTGAGGAGGAGAAGAAAAAGAAGAAAGATGATGATGACCTAGGCATCCCCCCTGAAATTTGGGAGCTCCTGAAAGGGGCAAAGAAGAGTGAGTACGAGAGGATTGCCTTCCAGTATGGCATCACTGACCTCCGGGGCATGCTGAAGCGGCTCAAGAAGGCCAAGGTCGAGGTCAAGAAGAGTTCAGGTCAGCACTGCTCAGAGGGGAGGTGGGGCCTCCCTAGGGGATCCCAGCATCATGGGTATTGGATGTTTGGACCCTGGACCTATCTCTTGAAGGTCCTGATCTAAGGAGTAATAGGGCCCTGTAGTCAGGCACCTCCAAGTTTATGGGAGGATTCCTGACATTGACCTTGGAGAGCCCATGGTCTGGGGAGGGAGATGTGGCAGCTCTGGGAGGTGACCAGGGCAGTGAGAACCTCTCAGCTCCATGCACCCTGCATCCTTCAATCTCCAGCCTTCACAAAGAAACTGGATCCAGCCTACCAAGTGGACAGAGGCAACAAGATCAAGTTGGTGGTGGAAATCAGTGACCCAGACCTTCCTCTTAAGTGGTACAAGAACGGCCAGGAGATCAAACCAAGTAGCAAGTATGTGTTGAGGGACAGTCCCTCAGGGGGGTGGGGGGAGATCTGAGTCCCAGAGAGGGCCCAGATATAAATCTGACCACTCTTAACCCAGAAAGAGCCTCCCTCATTCATATGAAAAGTGTAAATACCTCAATAAAAAAAAATTGACAAAGGAGGGGCGCATAGCTGGCTCAGTAGGTGAAGCATGTGACCCTTGATGTCAGGATCATGAGTTCAAGTGCCATATTGGGTGTAGAGATCACTCCTTTTTTTTTTTTTTTAATTTAAGGGTTTTGTTGTTGTTTTTTAAGATTTTATTTATTTATTTATTTATTTGACAGAGAGAGAGAGAGAGAGAGAGAGAGAGAGAGACAGCCAGAGAGGAACATAGGCAGGGGGAGTGGGAGAGGGAGAAGCAGGCTTCCTGGTGAGCAGAGGGAGCCCGATGTGGGACCCGACTCCAGGACCTGGGATCATGACCTGAGTTGAAGGCAGATGCTTAATGGCTGAGCCACCCAGGAGCCCCTAGAGATTACTCTTAAAAAATCTTTAGGGGCGCCTGGATGGCTCAGTCAGTTAAGCATCTCTCTTCAGCTCAGGTCATCCTAGGATCAAGTCCCGCATTGGGTTCCTTGCTCAGTGGGAAGTCTGCTTCTACCTCTCCCTCTGCCTCTCCTCCTGCTCATGTGCGTGCTCTATCAAATAAATAAATAAAATTTTTATAAATAAATAAATAAGCTTTTAAAAAAATTGTTCAAGGTAATGAAAACAGGAATTTGGTTGAGAAGAAACCAATGGCCAATGTGCTGTGGAGGACACATTCAACCTTGAAAATAACAGCAACAACAACAATAATAATGCAAATAAGTAATAGTCTTCTGCTCTCCAAATAGGCAAAGACTTTCCAAAATGATAAAACCCAGTGCTGGAGACAACATAGAGAAATGGGTACACAAATGCTGCTGGCAGGAATGGTACTTGCTAAATCTCTGAATGGGCAGTGTGTTAAAAATCTTTCAGATTGTGCAATTTGAGGGATTTATCCTAAGAGAATTACATTGTTGTGCATATTTCGCTGCAAGGATGTTCCCTAAGGCATTTGCTATTGTAGCAAAAAATGGAAAACAACCAAAATGTATGATTCCTTGCCAAAGTTCTATGTGGTCACTAAGAATGAGATCCTAAAATGTATACTAATACGGGAAGCTGGTCAAAGTTTGCAAATGGGAAGAAGCGTGGTTCCCATTTCTGCCTCACATAATGTTAATCTACATACATATAGATAAAAAGATTGGAAAGACAGAGACCAAAATGTTTGCAACAGTTATCTCTTGGATGGGTTTTAGTTTTATTATTTTTTTCTTGGCTGTGTATGTGTGTGTGTTTTAAAGTTATTAATTTATTTAAGTCGTCTCTACACACAACGTGGGGTTCTAACTCAGGATTTCCAAGATCAAGTGTCAGCATGTTCTCCTGACTGAGCCAGCCAGGCGCCCTGGCTGTGTCTTCTAAGTTTCTCATCAGGAGCATGTTGGATAAGATAAAAAGTTAAGTTAGTTAAGGTCCAGGTTAAGTTGCTGTAACAAAGTCCCTAGATTACATTACTTGGAGTGAGAGAGAAATGTATTCCTAGCTGATTGCGGCTGGTGGGTTGGCTTTCTTCTTAGAGATTGTTTGGGGACCCAGGTTCCACATTTTAGGCTACACCATTTCTTGTGACATTGTCTTCGTCTACTTGATTGAAGCTGGGTCATGGGAGACAGGAAGGGGGAAGGAGAGAAGTCTGGAGCAAGCAACACAAAGGTGGAGATGAAATAGCAGTTATGCCGCTGGAATCCACTCACATTCCATTGGCCCAAGTTCAGTGGTGGTCCATTCTAGCTGCAAAGGAGGCTGGGAAATGTAGTTCTCAGGTCGGTAGCTGTGTGCTATTGCTAAATGGAAGGGGAGGATGGATATGGGCGGCGAGGGGGCACTTAAGATTTCCGCTATGGGTATTTAAATACTAGAAATTAGACCATCTGTCCGCTCCTGCACAATCTGGCCCTGAGAGGGAGTGACTTGCTTGAGAACTGGTGGGTAGATCAACCCCAGGCCCGGGATCTCCTCCAGGCTCTAGGCTAAGATAAGATTTTTGCACCAGATACGTGTTTGAGAATGTTGGTAAGAAGCGAATTCTCACCATCAACAAGTGCACGCTGGCGGATGATGCCGCTTATGAGGTCGCTGTCAAAGATGAGAAGTGTTTCACTGAGCTCTTTGTCAAAGGTGAGGCTGAGATTTGGGCCTGAGCTTAGGGAGTGGAGCTCTGGGGTGGGGGTGGAGGTGTCCTGAAACTACTGACCTCCTGTCCCTCCATGTCTCACAGAACCTCCAGTCCTGATTGTCAAACCCCTCGAGGACCAGCAGGTGTTTGTGGGTGACCGGGTGGAAATGTCAGTGGAGGTATCAGAAGATGGTGCCCAGGTCATGTGGTAAGTGACTCTTGATCCCTGAGCTCCATACAGGTGCCCACAGCTTCTTTGCCTCAGCTCTGATCTTTGTGAGCCTCTTAGAGATTCTGAAACTTTACCCAGTAGTCACCAGGAAACCTCAGCTCAGCCTTTCTCTATAAATCCTGACCTGCAACCCATGATCTCTTTCTGGAACTTCTGACCTCTACCCATCTTATCTTCTTCCAGCTCCTTTTCCTGATCCTTGCTATTTCAGATTCATTTACTCATCCATTCAATCATCCATCCATCCTCTGGTCCAATCACTCATGTATCCATTCATCAGCCAATCCTTTATCCATCCATCCACTCCTCTATCCCATGGGTTCATCTGTCCATCCACCCATCCATCCATCCACCTATCCATCTCCTCGCACACTCACTCACCCACCCTTCTCCTCATCCATTCATCCATCCCACATCTATTCACCCACCCAACAAATATTTATTGAGCACCTATTATATGATGGCACTCTTCAATGTATTGGAGATATAATGGTGAGAAAATATACCAATATGTCACCCACCCTTTTAGAGTTAATAATCTGGTAAGCCTCTGGGGTGTATGTGTAGGAGAGAGAGACATGTATTAGTCGAGACATCACATGAATAAATACAAAAGTTCTATTTTGACAAGTGTTTCAGAAGAGCACTAACTGAAGTTATAATCACTTTTTAATAGGCAGAAGGGACTCAGGAGGTCAGGGAAGGCTTCCTGGAGGAGGTGACAATGGAGCTGAGGTTTGAATGATAAGGAGGTAGAAGAGAAGTGGGAAGGGAGGAGTTTCTCAGGCAGGGAAGTACCGTTTAGAGAGGCCACAATATTTGATGTCTCTCTGGGACCCCAGGACTCCCTCCATGCCCTGACATCTCCCAGTGACCTTTTATTCCAACCGGGACCTTGCGGCATCTCCCTGTGGACTGTGACTTCCTGTGACCCACTATCCCTGTGGACTGTGACTTCCTGTGACCCACTATCCCACCTGTGATCCAACTATTCAAGATGCTTCTGTCAACCTGACTCTCTCCTCCCTCCTGGGACTGCCATTCTTACCCTGACCTCCGCTCAGGACTGTCTCTCTGGCCCTCCCCCTGTGATATCTAGACCCAGAGCTGTGTGGGTCCCTCACTTCTCTTCTTCACATCCCCTTTGCCTAGGATGAAAGATGGGGTAGAACTGACACGGGAGGATTCCTACAAGGCTCGATATCGCTTCAAGAAGGATGGGAAGCATCACATTCTTATCTACTCAGATGTGACCCTGGAGGATGGGGGTCACTACCAGGTCATGACCAATGGAGACCAGTGTGAGGCCGAGCTCATCGTGGAAGGTACGGGGCCTCCAGGTGGGGAGGGGGGTGCTGCGATATGTCAAGCTTCTCCTCACACCTCAAAATTGCTCAGGCCCTGGGGTGCCTGGATGGCTCAGCCAGAAGAACGTGTGACTTTTGATCTTGGAGTCATACGTTCGAGCCCCACGTTTAGGTTAGAGTGTTTACTTAAATAAATAAAGAAACTTAAAAAAAATTGCTCAGGGGCGCCTGAGTGGCGTAGTCGGTTAAGGGTCCAGCTCTTGGTTTCAGCTCGGGTCATGATCTCAGGGTCCTGGGATCGAGCCCCACGTCAGGCTCTGTGCTCGGCATGGAGTCTGCTTGTCCCTCTCCCTCTGCTTCTCCCCCTCTGCCCCCTCTCTCAAATAAATTAATAAATAAAATCTTTTTTTCTTAAAGATTTTATTTATTTATTCATTTGACAGACAGAGATCACAAGGAGGCAGAGAGGCAGGCAGAGAGAGAGGGAAGCAGTCTCCCTGCTGAGCAGAGAGCCCGATGTGGGGCTCGATCCCAGGATCCTGGGATCATGACTTGAGCCAAAGGCAGAGGCTTTAACCCACTGAGCCACCCAGGCGCCCCTAATAAATAAAATGTTAAACAAACAAACAAACATTGCTCAGGCCCTGAATCTTGCAGTTGTCCCTGACTCCTCTCTTGGCCTCCCCCGGCATTCAGTTCACCAGCGACTCCTGGCAGCTTCCCCCTCAGAAGATATCTGGGATCTGACCGCTCTTCCCCTCCTCTGTTGCCCTCACTTGTCCCAGGCCTCCACCCCTCATGCCTGAAGGACAGCACTGCTCAGTGGGTGCCCTGTTTCCATGGCCACCCCCTCCCCCACTCACATACACACCAGCCAGAGAGTGATCCTTGTAAAATGTAAGTCAGATGGTAGAAACTGAGCACATGGCCGTCTAGGGCCCAGGTCACTTTCCTGTTATGTAAGACGTCACCCTCTCCACCAGGGGAAGCTGACTGAAAGCCACATGGGACTCCATGCATTATATTTGCAAATGCTTGTGAGTGTGTAGTTCCTTAAATATAAAAAAATGAACCAACCCCAAACTAAGGTATTTATGAGCCAAATCAATTATGGATGTCAATAAGAAGCCCTTAAAAATGGACAGTGTGACATGCACTGATATGTAAGGATTTCCAATATACCCTGTTGTCAGGTAAAAAAGCAAATATGTTACAATTTGCAAGGAGGGGAGGGGAGGAAGGAAGGAAAGGAAGAGAGGGAGGAGAGAAAACATATATACCTATTTGCTTTCATAGTGATCGACTAAACGGGTAGTGCCCGTTTGGAGAAGGGAGGATTGGAGGTGGGTAAGTAGGAGATAACCCCTTTACATCTAAATCCATTTCCTTGGGGCGCCTGGGTAGCTCAGTGGGTTAAAGCCTCTGCCTTCGGCTCGGGTCATGATCCCAGGGTCTGGGGATCGAGCCCCACATCGGGCTCTCTGCTCAGCAGGGAGCCTGTTTCCTCCTCTCTCTCTCTGCCTGCCTCTCTGCCTACTTGTGATCTCTGTCTGTCAAATAAATAAATAAATAAAATCTAAAAAAATAATCCATTTCCTTTATTTTTTTCCTTTTTTTTTTTAAGATTTAATTATTTATTTGAGAGAGAAAGAGAGAGAGTACAGGCAGGGGGATGGGGAAAGGGAGAAGCAGACTCCCTGCTGAGCACAGGGTCCAACTTGGCGCCCGAGCCCTGGACACCGGGACCATGTCCTGAGCTGAAGGCAGATGCCTAACCAACTGAGCCACCCAGGGCCCCCACTGCCTTTATTTTTAAGGCATATAAATGCATTGTTTTGTTAAAAAAATAAAATACTTCAGATCCCAGCCATCTTTACAACATTCTTTAGTAGCTCCTGCCTGGCTGGGAGTCCTCTCTGGGGCCCCCAAGGTCTGTGATCTGGCCCCGTCTGCCCCTGCCCAGCTCATCTCCTACCATGTCTGCCTCGCTCACTGCGTGCTGGTCTCCTTGCTGTTTCCCACACCGAGCCTGCTCTGCTGCACAGGGCTTTTGCACATGCTGTTCCTGTTACCTAGGGGACTCTTCCGCATTCTCGCACAGACTCTTCCCTGCCCTCCTTCAGGCTTCATCACTCCCTCTTGTTATACATTTCTTTCTTTCTTTTTAAGATTTTATTTATTTATTTCTCAGAGAGAGAGAGAGAGAGAGTGTGAACGCATAAGCAGGGGGAGTGGCAGGCAGAGGGAGAAGCAGGTTCCCCAATGAGCAAGGAGCCTGTTGCGGGACTCGATTCCAAGACCCTGGGATCATGCATGACCTGAGGCAAAGGCACATGGTTAATCTATTGAGCCACCCAGGTGTCCTTGTTGTATGTTTCTGTGTTTCCCTGTTCACCGACCGTCTCCACGTTAGAATATGAGCTCCACCAGGCCGGTGGATGTTTCTGGGCTGTTCACAGTTATATCCCCAGTGCCTGGAACAGCGCTTGTGCATATCTGTGGGCTGCCTGGAGTTCTCATGGCCTCGTATCCTTCTCTCCCTGCCCAGAGAAACAGCTGGAGGTCCTGCAGGACATCGCAGATCTGACAGTGAAGGCCTCGGAGCAGGCCGTGTTTAAGTGTGAGGTGTCTGACGAGAAGGTGACAGGCAAGTGGTACAAGAATGGGGTCGAGGTGCGGCCGAGCAAGAGGATCACCATCTCCCACGTGGGGAGGTGCGGAGTAGACGGTGGAGGTGGCGGAGAGGAGAGGGGTGTGTGGGGGTGGTGTGTGTATCAGTTGGCTATCGCTGCAGAACAACCATCCCTCTACTTAGTGGTTTAAGGGGTAGGGAGCCACAGGCTGCAGGGTCTTACCGCAAGGGGCACAGATACAGGGAGGGGAGAACCTGTGGCCGTGTCTGCCAACAGTCTCCTACAAAGTGGGGGAGACGTCTAGCTGGGGAAACAAAGGGACTGGAATTCAACAGGTGGCACAGGGACATCCAGGAGAAGCACCTAGTGACCTGTGGGATGTGGAGAGCCACCGTGAGGCCAAAACAGCATGCCCAAGTGCGTGTGCCCCTGTAGGGTGGTGAATTGCATTTCCTGACCACAGCTCTTGGCAGAACGCAGGCTTTCTCCAGGTTCTGTGTCAGGAACCCTGCCTGCCAGGAGTGTCGGTAACTCTGAGAATGAATTATAATGCTTATGGGGCATTTATTACATGCTGGGAGAGTTTTACTTCTTTTTTTTTTTTTTAGATTTTATTTATTTATTGGACAGATAGAGATCACAAGCAGGCAGAGAGAGAGAGAGAGGAGGAAGCAGGCTCCCTGCTGAGCAGAGAGCCCGATGCGGGGCTCGATCCCAGGACCCTGGGATCATGACCTGAGCCGAAGGCAGAGGCTTTAACCCAGTGAGCCACCAGGCGCCCCAAGAGTTTTACTTCTTCACAACAACCCTGCTGTAGACTGTTCATGATTCCTCTTTTATGAATGAAGAAACTGAACTCACAGGGGACCTAGCTAACTTGCCCAAAGTCATACAGCTAATAAGTGGCAAAGATGAGATTTGAACTCAGATGATAGCATTTCAAAACCCAGAATAAAAATGGTAGGCCTGGGGGAATGGCACCTGGCAGGCTCAGTTGGTGAAGCATCCGCCTTTGCCTTTGGCTCAGGTCCTGATCTCTGGGTCCTAGGATCGAGCCCCACCTTGGACTCTGAACTCAGTGGGGAGCCTGCTTCTCCCTCTGCCTTGCCCCTAGCCCCACTCGTGCTTGCTCTCTCTCAAATTAAAAAAAAAAAAAAATGGTGGGCAAGGGGACTTAGAGTGCATCGAGAGGGTGTTTCTCTGGGAGGCTGGCTGGCTCTTTTGGAAAGATGTGTGATTCTCGATCTCTGCGTTATGACTTCGAGCCCCACATTGGGTGCAGAGATTACTTAAATGAATAAACTTTTTTAAAAAGGTGTTTCTCCATGGTGATCCATGGGGTGACCCACCTGATTCCTGCCTTGTCCCCACAACACCTTAGGTTCCACAAGCTGGTGATCGATGACGTCCGCCCTGAAGATGAGGGAGACTACACATTTGTGCCCGATGGCTATGCCCTGTCCCTCTCAGCCAAGCTCAACTTCCTGGGTGAGGGTGCCCCTCTGTGTTCCCCAAGGGGCCAGAGCACCCACCTTCCCAGACCCCAGAGCCCAGACCCCTCCTTCACGATTAGGTTTCCCTAGTGTGTATTAGGGGTGACAGCAGGCGGCGTCTGATCTTGTGGGAGGAGTCAGATGAAAACATGGAGGGAGAGAGCACTATACATTCTGACGAGTGTCCACCTGGGGGGAGGGGCAGTCATGGTCCTGGACCCATGCCCAGCCCCCCAGGTCCCTGGGTGATGCCAGACCTTCCCCTCAGCCTCTGGGGTGGGAGGGTGGGATTAGGGGTCCACTGGATTTAGAGCTAACAGAGCCGTCTTCTTTGTCCTCCAGAAATCAAGGTGGAGTATGTGCCCAAGCAAGGTAAGGACCAGGGGCTGCTGTGCTAACCTGAGGGTCTGGACTCCTGGGTCTGAGGGAGGAGGGGCTGAGGGGCCTGGACTCTGGGGTCTGAGGGAGGAGGGGCTGAGGGCCTGGATTCCTGGGTCTGAGGGAGGAGGGGGCTGAGGGCCTGGATTCCTGGGTCTGAGGGAGGAGGGGGCTGAGGGCCTGGATTCCTGGGTCTGAGGGAGGAGGGGATTGAGGGTCTGGACTCCTGGGTCTGAGGGAGAAGGGGGCTGGGGGTCCTGACTCCTGGGTCTGATGGAAGAGGGGCTGGGGGCAGGACCCCAGGATTTCTATGGCTATTGGAGCCCAGCTCTTGGGGAACCCAGCTTGCCTTGGTGGGGATCAGGATGACCCAGCTGCCCACTCCGAAGCTCCCCAGTATCTCTTTTTTGCCACTAGAGCCACCAAAGATCCACCTGGATTGCTCAGGGAAGACCTCAGAGAATTCAATTGTGGTGGTGGCTGGAAACAAGCTGAGGCTCGATGTGTCCATCACTGGGGAGCCTCGTCCTGTCCCCACCTGGCTGAAGGGAGATGAGGTATGGCAGGGCTCCCCCCAACCCCGTGCCCTGACTTCTTCTCCCTCTCAGCTCTGCTGGGCAACCTGGGGCAAGTGGCTTCCCTGTCTGAGCTTCAGATTCATTGTCTGTAAAATGAGAATGATGGTCCTTCAGAGGATTGAAGACTGGAGATTGTATTTGTCTATCACATGGTACTGGCCTGCCACATGGTGGGTGCTCCCTCCCTCCCTCCATCCATCCCTCCCTCCATCCCACCCTCCATCCCTCCCTCCATCCATCCCTCCCTCCATCCCTCCCTCCATCCATCCCTCCATCCACCATCCATTAATCAGTCAGCCAACAAATCCAGCTATCCATCAACTCAACCATCTACCCATCTTTCCATTCAAAAACTTATCAATTATTTAATTCATCTGGCCATCTTCTCATCCAGTAATTAATCCATTTGTCCATTTATCCATCAGTCAGTCCAAGGTCCCATCCATCCAACAAATATTTTTATTTTGTATGTTCCAGGCACTGGACAGTTCAAGTTTTCTTCCATCGTCTAGGCTTCAGAGTCCTAGTCTGTAAAATCGATAGACTTGACTCAACCTTCATTCATTCCTTCAGTCAACAAACACAGCCCCTGAGTCTTCCTCTCTGTGGGGCTCTGTGCATAGCACTGGGGATACCACCACGAGGAAGGAGGTGGAGGGAGGCGGACACGTGCCCAAGCAGTCACAGTCTGGGGTGACCAGGCTGAGATAAAGGGGGGGTACTGGAAACTGAGACTTCAGGGGATAGGGCCATCACTTTCAGCTGGGGGCTTCCAAGATGGCTTCCCAGAAGAGGCGACTTCTAGGCGAGTCCTAAAGGATGAGTAAGAGCGAGCAAATAGAAGAGTGGCTGAGGGGATCGCATGCCACATTTTTGGGATTTTAATTCAGGGTGGTGTTTGGAGGATGAGGAGGGCAGCAGGGAAGAATGGTGAGGCTGGGTGTAAATGCAACGGGTCCTCTTACTCTGGGTCCAAGGCCGTGTGTGTTGTGTGGTGATGAGGAGCCGTTGGAGGACTCTGAGCAGTCAGTGCAGAGGTGGGTCTGGGCTTGGGGAGAGATGGAACAAGGTCACCCCGTGGCTGTGTCCAGGTGTTTGCAGCCACCGAAGGCAGGGTCCGCATCGAGAATCTGACAGACATCAGCAGCTTCGTGATCGAGAGTGCCGATCGAGCGGATGAGGGCCGCTACACCATCAAGGTCACCAACCCTGTGGGCGAGGATGTGGCCTCCATCTCCGTGCGGGTTGTGGGTGAGCAGAGGGAGCTGAGGGAGTGAGCCAGGGTGGCTCCCTGAGGCCCTGAGGGACCCGCTGATCATCCTGTCTCCCACAGATGTCCCAGACCCCCCGGAGGCTGTGCGAGTCACCTCTGTTGGAGAGGATTGGGCCATTCTTGTCTGGGAGCCACCCAAGTACGATGGGGGGCAGCCAGTCACTGGTGAGTGCCTGTATGCCGGAGTCCCTATGACCTCTGACCTCTCTTACTCCCCCTTCCCTGCCACCCCAACGAATCGCTTGGCCTTTGAGAGTTCTTAGCATCCTTGGTGATCTCCCTCTGAGATCGGTTTTCCATCTTGGATGTCTTGCAATTCCTTTGGTCTTCCCTCTCATTCTTTGCTTCCCAGCAACCTGGGGACCTTCACTTATAGCATAGGGTTTTCTATGATCCCTGACTCCTGATTCATGACTCGTGACTGTTCCTGAGCCCCAGCCCCATGACTGGTGATTACTGACTGCTCTGTGACCCCGAGACCAACCCAAGATTCATGTCCTCAGACATCTCTGGGGTCATGTGACCTTTTGATGTGCCTCTCACTGCTACAACTGACCTGCGACCCCATAGTCTCCCCATGGGCATCACTCCTCTCTGTTGGGCGGGGGCGTCCAGGTTACCTCCTGGAGCGGAAGAAGAAGGGCTCTCAGCGCTGGATGAAACTGAACTTTGAGGTCTTTACGGAGACGACCTATGAGTCCACCAAGATGATCGAGGGCGTCCTCTACGAGATGCGGGTCTTCGCGGTCAATGCCATTGGTGTTTCCCAGCCCAGCATGAACACCAAGCCCTTCATGCCTATTGGTAATGCTCCTCTGCACCCTCCCCAAACCCCTGTCCATCTCCAACCCCTGCCCTACCTGTTGCTGATCTCTGACCCTACACCTGGCCTTTGAACCTCCAGCCCTAACCAACCTCCCGACCTGTTACTGACCCAGTACATTAGTCACCAATCTCTATGATCCTAGACTCTGTGCCTTTGTCCAGATCCCTCATAGACCTCTGACCTACCAGACCAACATTTCTCCCTCCTCCTGGAGACCTCACCATCCCTTGATATACGTTGTGGTTTTAATGACTCATGATGACATGTCCTGGCTCGTGGACCTCTGGCCCACCATACTGCTCCCTTTCCTGATCAATGACTCCAACTCTGATTCCTGCCCCTCCCCGTGACCACCGACCCCTCATTTGCTTCCACCTTCCTTTTCCCTGGATTCTTACAGCACCCACGAGTGAACCCTTGCACCTGACAGTGGAAGACGTGACAGACACGACCACCACTCTCAAGTGGAGGCCTCCAGATAGGATTGGGGCAGGCGGCATCGATGGGTACCTGGTGGAGTACTGCCTGGAGGGCTGTGAGTGGCCGCGTCAGGTCTGGGGGTGGGGGCACGGTGTATCACACAGAGCCCTGCTGGGGGTCCAATTCAGGGGACTGCAAAGAGGGCAGTGCAAGGAGAGCTCTTTGATGGGGTGGACTGGCCTAGCCCTGTGTCTGTACTTGCTTGAATCCCTGAATGGGATGGCTCAAGCCAGGCCCCCATTGACCAGCTTGTCCTCTCTCCCTCCCTTCCTCTCTCCCATCCTCCACCCTCCTTTCCCTGTACCCATCTTCCATACAGTAGTACTTTTCCATCCATCTATCCATCATCCCTGTAATTATTGACTACCTATATTCCTTCTTTCTCTCATCCATCCCTCCCTCCATTTTTCCATCCGTCCTTCCTTCGTTCCTGTCTTCCTTCCTTCCCTTCTTCCTGCATTCTTCCATCCATTTGCCCACCATTGGTCATCCATCCAACCATCTGTCTATCCATCTGAAAATCTTTTGGATTAACAAACTATCCATCCATCTTGTAATATGTTTTCCATCCATATATTTATCTCTTCACCACCATTTTTCTTCCCTCTTCCCTCCCTCCTTTCCACCCTCCTTTCCTTCTTTCCATTCATCCATTTCCCTATATGACCACCATCTACTGGTCATGACATCTGTCTACTGTCTCTCCATCTTTCTGTGTATCCATCCACCCATCCACCCATCTTTCCACATATCCAACTCTCCATTCTCCACCGAACAAACACGTACTGAGTGCTGGACTCCATGCCAGGCTCGGTGCCATGACTGTGGGGGTACCTGCAACACGGTCATCTCACTGGGAAGACAGGCGTGATCATCTCAACACCGTACCCCAGGCCTTAAAGTCAGACAGACGTGAGTTCCCATCCTGCCCTACACTTTCCTTCATCTAAAAATGGGTGAAGACAGTTGCCTCCTTGACAGGGTACAGTGATGACCGCATCTGGTAATGCATGTAAATAATGGATGGTTGGACTCTAATCAGCTTCTTCCCTCTTTCTCTTTCCAGCGCTCTTTACCCCATTCTTGCCCTTGCCTATCCCGCTCCCATCTGCACCAGGCCACTATGATGTTTCAGGACCTAGTCTCATTAGAGTTCGCCTTGGTGGTGGTTGGTCTGACCCACATTGTTCACCAACCTATGGCAATAAACCTAAGCTAGAAAGCAAGGGGGCAGGAAATCCGAGAAGCTGTCTCTAACCAGCCCCCCATTCTCTACTCCTCTGAACTTTGATTTCCCCATCTCTAGAATGGGGATAACATAGGACAGAGGCAGAGATCAGTGAGCTAACTAACACGTGTGCCACCCTTCCAATCTGGTCATAGTAAGTGCTTAGCAAATATCAGCTGCCCCTGTTCACTGCAGTCAGCCCAAGGAACGGGAAGGGACAACCAGCTGAGGTGCTTCTAGAAGGTTCCTAGCATGCCTTCTCTTTTGTAGCCGAGGACTGGGTCCCAGCTAACACGGAGCCCATAGAGCGCTGTGGCTTCACCGTCAAGAATCTCCCCACGGGAGCAAAAATCTTGTTTCGGGTAGTGGCAGTCAACATTGCGGGGCGCAGCGAGCCCGCCTCCCTGTTCCAGCCCGTCACCATCCGGGAGATTGTGCGTAAGTGACTCTGAGCCCGCTCTCCCAAAGACCAAGTTGCTGTCATCCGGCCTGCTCTTGCCATGTCATCATTAGGGCCTCCCCCAAGAACGTCATCACCACAATCTCTCTGTCCCTCCCTCGAGTGTCCCCCAGCCCAGCACTGAGCCCCTGTTCCTGTGTCTGTGCCCTCAGAGCAACCCAAGATCCGGCTCCCGCGCCATCTCCGCCAGACTTACATCCTCAAAGTGGGGGAACACATCAACCTCGTCATCCCCTTCCAGGTGTGCGGAGCTGGGGTTGGGCTTAGGGGTCAGGGCCCAAGGGTGAGGCCCAGGGCGGGGCCCAGGGTGAGACCCGGGCTGACCTCTCGGCCTCCCTTCCCTCCGCCCCCACCCAGGGAAAGCCCCGGCCCCAGGTGGTGTGGACGAAGGGCGGGGCGCCCCTGGACCCCAACCGTGTGCACGTGCGCACCAGCGACTTCGATACCGTGTTCTTCGTGCGCCAGGCGGCACGCTCGGACTCGGGGGAGTACGAGTTGACCGTGCAGATTGAGAACATGAAGGACACGGCCACCATCCGTATCCGGGTCGTGGGTGCGCAGGCAGCTGGGGCAGTGGGGAGGCATTGTGACCCAGGAGATGGGACGTGAAGAGATTGGGATGGAAACAAGGACGTGAGGCTGGGATGGGGCCAAAGGGCGAGGAAGCGGGAGTGGGGAAAGGCCTAAGCCTGATCAGAATCCTGGGACCAGGTGAGGGGTCTTAGGTGGGGAGAGATGCAGGGAGGAGGTAAGGGGTTGGCGTCTGACAACCGCCCCCCCCACCATTCCAGAAAAGGCAGGACCAGCAGAGAACGTAATGGTGAAGGAGGTGTGGGGTACTAACGCACTGGTGGAGTGGCAGCCCCCCAAAGATAATGGGAACAGTGAGATCACGGGCTATTTTGTCCAGAAAGCCGACAAGAAAACCATGGTGAGAGACCGGAAGGGCCGGGGTGGGGTGGGGTGGGTGATATCCGCAGAGCAGATGCCATTGTCTCTGGGTCACTGCTGGGAAAGGGAAACCCACCTTGGAGAGAGTGGGAGCACGGGCTGGGGCTGGGAGGGAAGCCTTTTGGGCAGAAGGTGGGTTTTCTTTTCCTTTTTCTTTTTTTTAAACTAAGGTAAAATTCACATAAAATTAAGCATTAACAATTTTAAAGCTTTTAGTCTGTTCCCACTATTGTGTCACCAACACAACTAGTTCCAAGACATTGTCATCTCCCCAAAAGGACACGTCACACCCACTAAGCATCCCCCTCCCCCCCAGCCGCAGGCAGCCACTAATCTGCTTCCTATGTGTATGGATTTGCCTTCTCTGGACTTTTCATATAAATAGGAACTCGCGATATGCAGCTTCCTTTGCTCAGAAAGTTTTCCTGGTCCCCCCAGATTGCGACGTGGATTGGGGTTTCAGTCCTTTCCATGGCTGAGTGAGAGTGCCTGGTTTGGACCTACCATGTTTTGCTTCTCCGTTTATCCGCTGACGGGCACGTGGGCTGTTCCCATCTCTTGGGCCATTGTGAACAGTGCTGCTGGGAGCTGCAAGCTGTCTTAGCGGGATGCACGCTTTGGTGTGCTTTGCTCACGCCCTGGGCCTTCTTGTGTCCGTGTTCCTGTGTCTGATTCTCCCGGCCCCTCCCTGTCTGTCCCCCACTGTCCCAGGAGTGGTTCACCGTCTACGAGCACAGCCGGCACACCTCCTGTACGGTGCCTGACCTCATTGTGGGCAACGAGTACTATTTCCGCGTTTTCAGTGAGAACATCTGTGGGCTCAGCGACTCCCCCGGTATCTCCAAGAACACGGCCCGGATCCTGAAAACAGGTCCTGCCACCTCACTTTGCGGAGTCCAGTCTCCTCTCTTGGCTGGGATTCTACCCTGACTCCTTTCCCCGCCCCCATACTCAAAGCTGATGGCACCCGGTGACAGAAGAGAGGCAGTCAGGGGCCAGTCCAGATGGGCACCTGACAGGTGCATCTCCCTTTCCCCAGGTATCACCTACAAGCCGCTTGAGTACAAGGAGCATGACTTCCGAACACCTCCCAAGTTCCTGACGCCTCTACCAGACCGGGTGGTCGTGGCTGGTTACACTGCTGCCCTCAACTGCGCGGTCAGAGGCCACCCAAAGGTGCCGTGTGTGTGTGTGCATGTGCGTGCATGGATGTGTGTGTGTGTGACCCTAGAGGGACATCTTCACCCAGGTCCAGCCATACTACCTCCTTTCCCCTGACTTCTCTTTCCTCTGTTCATGGGATTTACTCACTTTTAACCCACTTCCTGCCTCTCCCCACTTCAAGCAGAGCCCAAGTCTCATAATTACACTCCAGCTTCCCTCGGAAACAGAAAACTTTGGCAGGAGCTGGGGGGAGGTCTGGACCTCCAGGGCTCCCAGGCAGCTTCTGTCCTGTCCAGTTTCCCAGCTGCTGTTGGGAATGTGGACACTTGCAACCTTGAGTTCCAGTGACTCACCTGGACCAGGGGCTGGCAAAAGAGGGCTCTCTTTTCTGCTTGTCACCAGGATCTCTAAATCAAATGTTATTGGGATGCGGCTGTGTACGCTTCAGAGCCTGAAATAATGACTACCTGGCCTTTACAGATGAAGTTTGCTGGCCTCTGGTCAAGTTTTTGGCTTCAGCCCCTGTAGGCCCCCCGTGGATTCATTAGTTCTCCTCCTCCATCGACGTCCACCCACTTTGTTCGCTAACTGTAACTCCTTCATTCATTCCGTTCATTTACTCGCCTGCCAAGCCATTCGTTTCCTCAGCTCATTTATTCTCTCCGTTTGCGCTCTTACGCCACTCACACGTGTGGTCTGTTCATACACTCAGCTCACGTTTTCAGAGGCTGTGTGTGCTGGTGAGCTGGACGTTGGGGGATACTGACATGAATCTGAAGTCATGCACATGACTGCGACACTACGAAGGGTGGGCTGCGTGTCAGAGCCCTGAGGGTAGTTGAGTGGACAGTGGGCATTCCTGCCGCAGCCCAGGCGCCTGAGAGGACATGTGAGCAGAGCCCTGAAAGATAAGCCGGTGCCGATTAGGGGGAGAGAGGAGGGAAGAGCAGTACTGGAAGAGGGGACAGCCAGTGCACCAAGGTCCTGGGGTGGGAGCCTGTTGGGTCTGAGGAAAAACTAGGCAGCTGGTGTGGATGGAGCAGAGGGAGGGAGCGACGGCAGAAAAGTAATGGGGCCAAATTGCATAGGGTTCTGTGGGCCACAACAGAGAGTGAGCTCTTCCCCTCACGAAGAGGATACTGAGAGTCAGAGAGGAGAAATGACTAGTTCAGGGTCATCAATCAAAATCAGGTGGCAGGACAGCCAAGGATTGCCTCCAGACCTGCCTTCCAAAGCCCACTTTGCCATCACCCGCGGACCTTCCCTAAGCTGGCCTCTTCTCCCACTCCACTCAACAGCCGAAGGTGGTCTGGATGAAGAACCAAATGGAAATCCGTGAAGACCCCAAATTCCTGATAACCAACTACCAGGGAATCCTGACGCTCAGCATCCGCCGCCCGTCTCCCTTTGACGCAGGGACCTACTCCTGCAGGGCTGTCAACGAGCTGGGGGAGGCGCTGGCCGAGTGCAGGCTGGAAGTCCGAGGTGAGCGCCCTGCCGGGCTGCCCCCCGCCCCTTCACCCCTCCCACATCAGGGACCTGGAGGCCCTGGGCCAAGCCGTATGGAGGGCAGAGCCGTCATCCCGGTACCCCTAGGTGTGCAACGGGGAAGCCGATTCAGACCCCTCCAAGAATGCTGCAGGGTGACGTGTGCACGGGGCACTGTAGGGGTGGGGCTGGGGAGCACCTGATCCGGCGGTGGCAGTCATCTGAGGAAGTTTTCGAGAAGGAGTTGAAGGACAGATAAGAGGTGAATGAGATGGAGAAGGGCTGGCAGGTGATCACCAAGGCTCTGCTGGGCCTGGCCTATGTGGGGAGAGGGGCAGGCGCCCAGAAAAATGCCTCTTCTCCCCAAGCTCTGTCCGTCCCATCCCCTCCTCTCTACCTCCCCCCACCAGCCCCAGCCCTGATCACTTCTTCCTCTGGAATTCCTGCCTGGCCTTCCTGCCTCCCATCTTTCCTTCCAGCCCATCCTCCACAGGGCCCCAGGGGATTCTCTATCTGGGGCTGACTTGCCCCTCCCCTGCCCGTGGCCCTCCCCAGGTTCCCCAGCAGCTCTGAAGCCTCTCAGCCTGGTGTCCATGGTCCTGCGCCCTCTCCCATGTGCCCCGCTCTGGCCTCATGTACCCCGTTTTCCTCAACACTGTTCCAGCCACACCAAGCTGTTGGCAGTTGGACAAACTGGTTGTGGTTTCTCTTGTCCCTAGGACTTTGCACATGCCATTCCCTCTACCTGGAATGCTTTTCCTCACCTCCTCTGCCTTGGGCTCTTGCCCATCAAACATCTGCCAGTCCATGCTCACTGGAGTAGCCGCTACCCAAGTCCCTCAGATGTGACTGATATAAATACAGGCTTCCAGGGTCCCTCCCCAGTTGTGACTCCCCCTGGCCCTGATGACTGCCCAGAAGACAGATGTGAACATAGACTCTTAACAAGCGAGACCATCTCTGCACCTTACTGGCTGTCATTAAGAACACTGCTCTTCCAGGCTGAGCCAATTTGCAACGTTTTGCTATCCCCTTTATTAATTATTGAATCAGCTTGGAAATACCCCTACTTTGGGATCCCAGTGACAGCTTGTCACTGGCGGCTTAGAAACCCCTGATCAGAACATCCCAGTCTGCGGTTCAAAGCCGCAGGTACTGTCCGCACCAGGACAGTGGTTTCACTGCCCCACTGAGATGTGAAGTACCCACGTGCTCCCCCTGCTGGCCCTGCAAATCCAGGGGCAAAGGAGCCTGGGGGTGGGGCAGAGGGACTTGGGAAGCCCAACCCACCTTACCCACTCTTTTCTCATTTCCCCTGCAGTGCCACAGTGAGACTGTCTTCCACCTGCCAAAGTAATTGGCTGCTGGGTCCTAACCTGGACCTCCCTGAACATTGCTGTTTCCCTTTCCAGAGTTACCACTAAGATAATAGTCTTGTCTACAACCTGTGTGTGTCTGTCCTTCTTGAATCTCTAGCTCCACTGCCTTCTCCCTGTAGGGAGTTAGTCACCTGGGTGTGGGTGATGGGGACAGCAGGTTGGAATGGTAACCATGATAAGACAGCCCTGATGAAACAGACCACGTTGAGGCTGCCATCTTGGAATGGCTACTTTAGTGATGCTACCATGTTGCCATGGCAATTACAAGTCTCAGGTGAACCAAGACCTCATAGAGGAAGCCCTCTGGGACTAGCTACTATGAATGGGAAGGAGACAGGCAGGCTGCAGTGGCAACTACAATGAGTTAAAGAGGAAACAAAGCCCAAATGGGGAAGACCACTCTAGTGAGGTAGCCATGATGGAACGGTGGGCACTAGGTCTCATGGTGGCCCCAGGAGCCACACACAATGAACCGAACACCATGTTGAGGCAGCCATGTTGAATTGGTGATGTTGACAAAAGTGCTCATGACCTGCTTGTTGGTTCTTAAGTGGCCGATCTTTATTAACTTTAATAATTCATCTTTCTGGCCCTGAGATAGGGTACTTTGATCTCTGGTCCTTTGGTGACCTCATGGGTATTGGGAGGAATCAGAGTCCCCAGAGTTCAGAGGTCTGTGGGTCAAGTCTGGCTTCCATGGCTTGAAGCTGGGTATAAGAAAGAATTTGTCTCAGAGGTCTTGACCTGTGGATGTATCAGCAGTTTGGGGATGGATAGGTGGGGTGACTTTGTACTTACCTGGAAGGTGGGGGGAGTGGGGTGTCTCAAGAGGAAGATACCCCACAGGTTTCAATGCTCCCACCTTCAAAGACTGGTGCTCCTCTCCTCCCCCTAGCCTTATAGGGAACTGGACATCCGGTTTGGCCCACCCTAGCCCTTCTGGGCCCAGGTGTCCCTCCCCCATATCCCACTGAAGTAGGTCAAGGGGAGAGAGGCTGGGGGATGGGGGTGCCCAGTTGAGAAACTTGGCTCGTGTCCCCAACCCTGCCCTGCCTTGAGATCTTGCTGTCTCTACACAGAGATTTCATACCCTTCCAGGACTCAGGAGTGAGGCCTTCCTTGGCGCCCTGCGCTCTCAACACAGGAATCCAGGCCCCCAGCCACTCCCACACACTCAGTAGTCCAGGTTCCCAGCCCTAGCTCAGGGTAGTCCAAATTTCCAGCTGCTTCCTCCACCGCCCCCCCACCCACCCCGGAGTCCAGCCCCAGCCACGCCCTCTCCCCGCCCCTCCTCCCACCTCCTCCCGCTCTATCAGGTCGTAGTCCTCGTCGTCCTCATCGTCTCCATCCTCCACCGGCGAGTACTCCTGCGTGAAAGGCACGGCTCCCTCGGCTGAATGGAAACGCAGTCGGTAGAGCAGCCGCACCCACTGGCCGAACTCGCGGTCTCGGCTCTCGGCCGGGGCCCGCAGCTGCAGGTAGAAGGCGCGGCCGGTGCGGAATTTGACCTTGAGTTGCCAGCGGCTTTCGTCGTGGACGAAGAGCTGGACGAACTGCAAGGGGAACAACCTGGGAGGGCGGAAGGGGCAGCCTCAGGTTCTGACGCTCCGTGGCTCGGCAGCCTTGCCATCCCGGGCGCCTTCAGGGTCGGGGTCGCCCACCCCAACACCCCTCTCTCAGCCCAGAGACAGTCCCTTTTCTCTTTCTCTGCCTCTTGAATTTTTTCCATCCCCACATTTCTTCCATCCCCACATTTCTTCCATCCCCACAGTACCTCTGTGTCTCCCGCTGGTCCTTCTAATAGGTAGCCGCCGCCTTGAGATTTCCAGTTGAATATGAAAATGACATCGGACCCATAACAGGTCCAACGACCAAATTCCTGACCTCCCCAACTCAAACCTGCTTCTCTTTGCCTTCCGCATCCTAACTACATCCTCCCACTGCTCCGTCAGAAGTCGTGGGGCCCACGTTGCTCTCATATCCTCATCCAATCCTGCCACCAAATCCTGACAGCTCCACCGTTAAAATGCCACCGTCTCCAGGATCCGGCCACTTCTAACCCCTTCGGCCACCAGCCAGGGCCCACCGCCCGCCCAGGCAGCTGCCTCAGCCTTCACCGCTCCGTTCCCATGCGGCCGCCAGAGGGCGCCGGCCAACACCCGAGTTCACGTCCCTCCCGTGACTCCTGCGGCTTGGAGTAAAGGCAAGGTCCCTCGGCACCTTGACCTTGGCCCCGCAGGATCTGCCTCCTCTGTTTACCTCTCTGCTCCCTCCCCTCGCTCACTCAGCCCCAGCAACACCAGCCTCTCTGCGGTTCCATAAACCTACCAGGCGAGCTCCTACCTCGGACCCTGCCTCAGGGTGGGAATCTTCCTCCAGCCAGCCCTATGCCTTGGCCCCTTAATCTTGTGTTTCTCAAGAAACGCCTTCTCTCTGGGGAAGGTGTTTACCACCCCTTTGACCCTTGCAGTCCTCCCCACCCCCTCTGCCCCATCTGTCTCCACAAACCTTACCCCCTTGGACAAATTGTCATTTATTCTGTTTGCCTTCCCAGATGGGGAGTTTGAAGGCAGAGATTTTGATCTCATTTTGTTCACTGCTGTTCCCCGAGTACCCAGGGCTCACATGGTTGGTGCTCAGTGGATGCTTGTTGAGAGGGTGGATCATTTGGCCCAATACACACAGCAGGGATTTGGACCCAAGTCTTATCCACGACGGGGCAGTCATATACCACCCTCTGGCCTGGCAATGCTACCTCTGGGGACAGACACCCTCACGCCCGTGCACATGGACGCCCTCTGCCTACCGTGCTGGCTGCAATCCCAAGACACTGGGCACCACGTCCCTCAGTAGGTGGCTTCATCTCTTTATGACATTCCCCAAGTGGCAGAATAACAGTTGACGTTTACAAGGTGCTGACCCCTTGCCAGGGGCTGTTCCAAGCGCTTCACAAACATTTATGCAGTTTCTCCCCTGACAGCCCGGGAAGCTGGGCTCTCCTCTAATCCCCATGTTCCAGATAGGGAAATCGAGGCACAGACAGGTAGGGAACTTGGCCAAAGCCAGTGAAGAAGAGGTGAAGTCAGGATTTGAACCCAGGCAGGATGGTAGCAGCACCAGATGAAAACTTGGGAGCCCAAAAGAGGATGTGGGGCTTGTACTTATGTTGATATAAAGTGAATGCTGATCCAGTGCTGATGAGGGAGTGAGCAGAGAGGAAAAGTAGCGTGCACCTGCCCCTGGTTTTAAAGGAAGGGTGAACATATATATGCTTATAGAATGGGCCCAGGCTAGCTCCAGGCTGCAGGCTAGAAGTGAAGGACTAGGGGCTGGTGAGTCTTGCTTTATTTGCAGAGCAAGTTCAGTGCTTTTACTTTGACGGTATGCTTTTTTTGGGGGATGGTGTTGAAGGGGTTCCAAGCACCCCTTGGCACCGTCATTAGTGTCCCTCCCACTGCAGCTCACCACTCAGTGAGCGGTGAGGTCGATTGGTGGGACAGATTAGCACTGAAAGGAAAAGAAGCAGTGTAGAAGCGAAAATGCCCTGGTGCACCGTAAAGTGTCAGCACACTGCTTTGTGGAATGTTCTAAACTTATACAGGGGGGATACATTAAAGGCTGTAAGTAGCCTTCATTTAGTTGAGGTCAGAATCAGATTCTGCCACCAAGTGGGTTGCAAAAGAACTTTTTAGGTTTCAGAACTGCAGACAAAGAACTGTGGACCCCTGTGTGTGTGTGTGTGTGATGTAAGTCTTTCCTTCATTTCCTCCATTTCTCTCCTTAACTGGGAGATGTAGTCAAAAAAGTGAAAGCCACCGGCAGAATGCTTTTATAGTATACTACACGTATGTACATGTTTTGTTATTGGCAGCTGGAGCTGGAGGCAGGAGCCTAGGATGGGCGAAAGGTGTTATTTTGTGCTATGTATGTTTTGTACCTTGATGTGTATTTGCATTCCTTTTTCAGCGAGAAAACAAAAGACCTGTAGGGCTTGTGTTTA